GAGGAGGAGGAGGAGGAGGAGGAGGAGGAGGAGGAGGAGGAGGAGGAAGGAAGGCTTTGAAAACATCACCTTCCTTAAAACTGTCTCTGTTGGGCTTTATAAAAAATAAGAATCCCTGTACAGTGTGATTGGAAGGAAAGGGCATTAGAGATGCCATTCAAGGTTGCCAATAACCTTAACCATAAAAATCCTCTTTCCCCTCTCTTTTAGATCACCTGTTGCTGCTCTTCCCTTGAATTGGCAAGTCACCTGCTTTTGTGAAGCTGGCAGGCAGTGAGAAACCCCTACCAGCCTTTTTCCGCCTTGTCTTTTCTTGCCTTGCCCCATTGGGTGAGAAAGAAAAGGCAGGTAAATTGCCAGCCAAAGGGGCAAGACAGTTTTGATATCTCCTGGCCAGGCAAGATCCCCTCCTGGGTTATATAAAATTGCCTGGCTGGGTGTATAGAAATTCTTTTCTTGAGCAGCAAATTAATTTTGCAGCCCACGGTATTCAGCAAGTTCTGACCAGTTCTGGAGAACCAGTAGCAGAAATTTTGAGTAGTTGAGTAATTTTTGAGTAGTACAAAAAAATTGAATCCCACCTCTGAGCCCATCTCCTAGTCTTGGGAAGAAAAGCTGCAAAGGAAGATATTGTGGTTATTTGGCTTTCGTTGGATTTATTGGGAAAGCTTCTTCATTTTCTTCTTCTTGGAAGCACAAAATATTTGCATATATGCCCAAATTTCAGCCTAGCTGCCTTGCATATTGTAGATTGTGAGATCCTATCATTCTTTTCCTCTTCTTTTTTTTTTTTTTTGCAAAAAAAAAAACTTATTTTAAAAGTTAGTTTTTAAAACAGATGATTCTAATAACCATACAAAACATAGCTACAGTCACCATCCATCCCCAACTGTATACCTTCCCAATATTTTGAACTGCACATCCCATAATTAACTGGGCTTTTGGCCATACTGTCTATGGATTAGAAGATAAGGGGAGCCTGAGGAAGACTCCCCAAAAGTAAAGCTCACACAGCCTAAAATATTAACTGGTTAATTCTATTAGGCTATATATTATTACTTGTAAGTCCTATTAAATTCAGTGAGCTTACTTTAAAGTAACCACGGGGGGCTGTGCTACAGATAGTCTTACAACTACACTGAAGACCAGAATTTCTGTTCTTAAACAAGGCATTTGATAAGGGAGTGATACCCAATTTTACAGGCTTTTTTTGCCATGGTTGTTAAATCACTGCCTTTGCTTATTTTTATTTATTTGTTTGCTGCTTCTCTTTATTTGCCCCTTATCTCACTATGGGGCTTACCATAATAAAAAGTTGCTAAGTGAATCATGCAGTTGTTTAGTGCAAGAGGTCCCCAACCCCTGGTCCAACGCCTGTGGACCGGTTCTGGGCCACGGCATGCCACAAACTGGGCTGCACAAACAAGCAAAGCCCCCTCTGCGAGATGCAGGCGGCACACGAAACCACATACACCCCGGTCCATGGAAAAACCTCTCTCCGCGGAATCGGTCCCTGGTGCCTGAAAGGTTGGGCAGGGCGGGGGGGCAGAGGCTGCTGGTTTAGTGAATCCGGCTTCCCCCATTGACTTTGCCTGTCGAAGGCCAGCTGGGAAGGTTGCAAACGGTGATCACATGACCCCTTGACTCTGCAACCATTGTAATGCCGGTTGCCAAGAACCCAAATTTCGATTCAGGTGGCTGTGGGGAATGCTGCGGTGGCTGCAAGTGTGAGGAGTAGCTATAAGTCGCTTTTTAGTGCCATTGAATGGTCACTAATTGAGTGGTTTTAAGTCAAGGACTACCTGCATATGATTATCATGTGTCTCTTCAGTCTAGAGTAGGGAGCAAGCAAGCACTAAACAATAGTAGCAAACGGGCACTTCAGAGCCAACCCCCACCCACCCCTGCATTTCTTCTGTATGAGCAGAGACCGTTTTGGAAAGCCTTCTATTTAACTGCTGAGATGCAGCTTCTCAAACTGAGGCCAGCTCGCTTGAGAGAGCTCTGAAGGCTCCAAGCCCGAAGTGAGAACTTCGAAGCAACAAGCAGCCTGCCCAGAAGTGGAGGTGGCACCGTAGACCACCGATCAGCCTTGCAGGAAGAGCCGCGCTGCAATCTACAGGCCAGAGTTGTGGGTGGAGGTCAGGCCGGCAATTCCCTGTCAATTACAACTGATGAAGGGAATGACCTCTGGCATCCAGGCGGCCGGTTGGAGCATCTGCGTCTCAGAGCTGAAGGAGGGGTGCCGGGCGGGGAGGAGGGGGGGGGGAGAGAAGAGAGAATGCCGAGGAAAAAGGAAGGGAAGGCAATCTGGAACCCATAAGCTCCCTTGATGTTTGCATTATTGTGCACGGTTGTATTGGTCTGCACACAGTCCCTCCCCTCAAACTCCCTACCCTATCCGTAAAGGGCTTTAAGAGACTTTTAACAATGTCCCTCCTCTCTTTAAGCCCTAAAGGAGGGGGGAAAGGAAGGTGAATAAGCAGATCAGTGAAGGTTGGAGCAACAAAAAAACCCCCAAAAAACCCATGTTTGAAGCCTTCCAAATCTCAGCTCTTGGGGAATCCTCGTCCTGGAGTTTGCTCAACCTGGTTGGCTTACATGCACCGTGGCCTACGAGGTCCAGCTCCTCATCCTGTGCGCAGAAGGGAAAGGGAGGCCGACTTGGAGAGGATGAAAGAGGAGAGCATGTGCCCAGACTCACCGGAGGGCAGCCTGGGGACCAGCGAGGAGGAGAGTGAGAAGGTGCCCAAGAAGAGCCTTCGGAAGAGGAGCCAGCTGGGTAAACCCTTGACTTCAGCCCCTCCAGAGTACAGCAGCAGCCCGTTGCCACAGGGCAAGCGCAGCAAGCGCAGCCCTGTGTCCCAGACTTTTGAGGACATGCACACGCAGCGGGTGATCGCCAACGTGCGGGAGCGTCAGCGCACCCAGTCGCTCAACGACGCCTTTGCTGAGCTGCGCAAGATCATCCCCACCCTGCCTTCGGACAAACTCAGCAAGATCCAGACCCTCAAGCTGGCTGCCCGCTACATTGACTTCCTCTACCAGGTCCTGCAGAGCGACGAACTCGACCACAAGATCTCCAGCTGCAACTACTTGGCCCACGAGAGGCTCAGCTATGCCTTCTCGGTCTGGAGGATGGAAGGGGCCTGGTCCATGTCGGCATCCCACTGAGGTCCAACAAGCAGGTATGTTTCCTCTTGCATCTCACTCCTTTTTCTCCCCAGCTGCCTCTTGTCCTTTGCCAGCATTACAACTCCAGTGGGAGAGGACAAGGCTCCTCTTTCTGACTTCAGAATCGGGATGTAGCACTTGACCATTAACACTCCCCCAAAGAGAGCAACTTTGACCATGTGCAGAGTATCTTTCTACCACCAGGGAACAACTCAGCCTACTTCTTCGCAGCTGGAATTAGGGATAAGTGTTTCCAGGTCTGAAGACCTGATCTCCAGATTGACTTGAGATCCTGGCAATGTTAGGCTGAAACAGACAGGCAATTGGGTTTTTTTGAAGAGAGAACCGAAAGTATTATCTCTGGAAATTCTGCTTTCACTTTTGTTCCACCATCTCCTGTCAGCGTAAACCTTCTTAGCAGGTGAAGGCAACAGGTTGGATAATAGAGACCCCATACCAAAGGCTCCCTCCCTGACATCCCCCCAAACAAAAGAACCTATGATCGTGAGTTTCCACTCTGAAACTATCTATTTCTAAGCCTTTGGGCAAAGCTCCAAGCCTTGCAGTCCTAAGCAAATGTTTTTGAAAGCAAGCCCTATTGAATTCAGTGGGAATGACTTCAGAAAGAACATGACACAATTGCATAGCGTGAACGTATCCACGGATTTCTTTTTCGTTTCTTTAAGAAGGCCCGGTTTTGTTGGAAGTGATCTAAACATGTCCTTTAGTCAAACTGTTCTTGAATCGCAGCATCAAAACTGATCAAAGCCTAAGAGAGGGGAAAAAAGAAAAGAAAAAAGCTTTGCTCCAAGGTCTCTGCCAAATAACCTGCATTTTTATTTGATCTGCTTAGATTTACTTTTAGTGGAAAGGAGCAGGCACAAAATATATCCCTCTTTGAATGCTTTATCATTTATATAGTCTTTCTAGAAAGCATTTTATTGCACAAAACGCTGCAATGCTCACTTCATCCAAATCTTCAAATTATTGACTATCGCCCTATCTTTCACATGTCGTTTATATAAAGGTCTTTTTTACACATTTGTTGTTGTTTTTTCTGGGAGAAAATCCACTGTTGTCTCATTATATTGATAAGGAGTAGAGGTTGATCAAACTACAGCTTTCTGCAACTATTGGTTCAGTGGAGTCTTTCTTGTGATCCAGAAACACTGTGCATTAGAAATGGCGGGGCTTGTTGGTTTGATGTAAACAAAGAAGGTTCTGTTATTCATTTCAAATATTAAGACATAGCCACAGACCTACGCATAGATATAGACACAGAAAGACAGACAGATTTAAGGGATCTTTAGAACTCTTTTGTTTTGCTTGCCCAAGCATTTAATGTAGATTAAATTCAACACAATTTAGAAGTGTCAATGACTTTAAATCAGGACTACCTAAATACTCATCATTTTTCTGCTTTTGATGAAGCGCTAGTCTAGGGTATTTTGTTGCCTAAAGCAACATACAAATTCCTGCTCTGTTTCCTTGCAGGATCAAGGATTTAAAACCTACCTTAGCTTTCAGTTGCCTTTTTGGAGGAAGTGTTACCAGGCCTTTAAACTTGTCACTGCCTAGGAGATTACTATCTTGAAAGGTAATCCCATTCTGAAATCTGCATTGTTATAAATAAAGTTCCACAGCCAGTAGAGTGAAAATTATGCATGTTATCCATGCACGAGCTCCGATAAATGGCAAAATGATGCACAGCATGGTAAAAGGCATATACAATGTGCAACCCAACTATTTAATAACAAATAAATGACATAGGATTCCACATTAAAGAATGAAGTCTGTAGTTTGATACATACTTACACGTAAGCTGAATTTACCACATCCAGAAGCTACAGTAATTGCATAAAATGATACTATAAATTCTATAGTCAAATCAGGCATCTTTGCAGGCTGACTAATTTTGGTGTGTGTGTGTGTGTGTGTGTGTGTGTGTGAAGAACTCTAGAAAAACTATACAATATTATATATTGTTCCCATTCTGTAACTTTTTAAAAAAATCTTCGATTTCCTATAGCAGCTTCCAACACCTTCAAAAAGAAAGTTCTGCTTCTGCCCCACAGTCAAAATCAGAAACCATACAGTTTTTTTAAAAAAAAAGCAATTGCAGAATTTTTAATATACAATAGGAACAAATATGAATTTTTGATTATGCTACTCCAAAGCTGTGCTAAATTCTTGCCGCAGCAGATCGATAGAAAGATAAGTTCATAGTGGAAAAAGTCTGCCCCCGGAAAGATGCATAGGGAAAATGTTTACTTCAAATTCAAACTTCGCAGGTTTGCCAAAACTAGGAATCTGAAAGATTGAAATGACTCCTCTCCTGCCTCCCAGTTTTTTTCCTTGCCTTTCCTAAAGGGGCAGTTGACATTTGTATCATTTGTATCAAAGCATTACCTTTGATAATGGCCACTCACACAAGAGGGCACTTTCTAAACCACCAGGTCACATTGGCATGTTCTGGAACATTCTTCTTGATGTGTATGACCCATGCATTGCTCAAAATTAGGGACAGGGTGGGAATAAAAGAAAATAATTAGAGCCGAGGGAAAAGCTACTTTCCAAGATTGATTTGGGTAGAAAAGAACCTGGGAAAGGAGAGAATTCTATGGCTAGTCTCTCCCATGAACCTTTGATTCAAAATGCCTCTTGATGCCGCTTCTGTGCTCTCTAGAACAATAGTGATATCAGATTTTGCTCATTCCCATACAGTATGTTGGGCAATCTGCTACTCCAGGAAAAAGGTGCAGATAACTGTCGAGCCAAGGGAGCACTTTCCTGACCCTTCAGGATGTGGTTAGGTCCTATTGCAAGTAGATGGGTCAAGACAGTATCAACCCACAAGTTGGTTAAAGTTGAATCATACTCTCTTCCCATAAAAATAATCCCCCGAACCCAAACAAAAATAGATCAGTGACCAACAATTTGCTCTAGAACCACTCTTTCCCCTCGATTTTACAGTTTTCATTTACTATGCATGCTGCATTTTTAACTCCTTAAGAAGTGCACATCAAAAGCAGATGGATGGATGGATATAGATGATAGACAGAGAGACAGACAAAAAAAAAAAAAAAGAGAGAATGGAATACAGGCCTACTCCCAGGCTTCTAAACAAAAAAGTTACGACGTCCATGAAAAAGTCACAGGAAGCTAAAGAGGAAAAGGAATGGAGAAAAGTGAGTTCTTTAGGCTTAGAATTAAGTAATAAATTGGCATTTGCATGCAGCTCAAGCTGGAATGTTGCCCCCCATGTTGCTGGTGTAGAAATTGGTGGCCTTCTGTTCAATATCTGCTGTTCGACATCCCTCCAACAGGCAGGTAAGAGATGTGAGCTGCTTGTATTTTGCCCCTCACATAATATAAGGGTCTTCCTGCAACCTAATCTAGTTACATATACCACGCAAATATAATTGTACCCAAGCAAGATCTTCCACTTTGCCTGGGTTTAACATTCCCATCTACACAGAGCAGGGCTTTCAAAGGAATTTAATTTGGCATATGAACCCCAGCCTTCAGTCCCACTCCAATTCATGTATTAAACCTAATTTCTTAATAAACAGTATGGGAAAATAAACTGTAGGGGAAATCTGATCATTACTATTCAGGGCATTTGTTGTTTTCTCCACCTTCCTACTCCGAGAAGAGAAAATGTCCTAATCAGACTCAAGGCAAGGGAAAGTCCAGACTTTTTTGGATTCTGGAACTGCCAGTGTTTATTTTTGTTATTATATCTTTGTTGATACAAAAGGCGACATCAAGAAAATTTTCGCGTGGAAATTCGATTGCACGAATAGACATTGCCTGCTCACAGTTTTCCATTGTTTCAAAGGCAGCGTTTTCAGCAGATTGCTCTCTAATCTACATTGCCACACAGATCCCTGTTTAGCACGCAGTGAGTCTTCATTTGTCCATCAGCATCTGTTTGGTTTAGTGGTTTGGGTGTTGACCTAAGAAACCAGGAGAGCGTGAGTTCTAGTCCTACTACCTTAGGCATGAAAGCTACCTGGGTGACTTTGGGCCAATCACACGCTTTCATCCCAACCCACCTCATAGGGTTGTTGTGGGGAAAATAGTCGGGAGTATTATGTTCACTGCCCTGAGTTCCTTATAAAGTAATAGAGTAAAACCAAATAAATAAATACATCTAAAACATGTCATTTGTCCTCGGGGAAGATATGCACTCATTGGGAAAACACACAAATTGTATATAGGAAGTCTTACGTTCTTGCAGTCAGGTAGGAAAAAAAACCCTCCTATCTTGTGCCAGTATGTGTTAAGCTGCTAGACTGCGGAGACCCAAGTTCAAATCCAGTTTTAATCATGGAAACTCACAGGGTGAATTTGGGCCAATTATTCTCAAAAAGGAAGCACTACATCTGTCACCTTGAGATCCTAGAGGAAAGATAGGATATAATTCTAACAAATAAATGCACAAATTGGGAAGCCCTTAGAAAGTCACTTCTGATCAAGGGAGACCACACTCTAATCTGTTGGAGGAAGCCACGTTCTCATCTCTTATATTTAGCTTTAATTCAGGGTTTTGGAGCTCGCATGAGATACCTTCTCAACATATGTTGTCTTGGGTCTTCTTGGCTACCTTAGCGGATTTCTGGTTGTCCGGCATACTTCCAACCTTCACCCATAGCACCCTCATAGTTACATGCCTTCATTTCAATTTTACTGCACGGCATTTGCATTTTAGAGTCCACTGTACCTAATATACATGTATGGCTATCCTGTGTCAGTCCAAGAATTAATTCCTGTTCAGATAAATTTGGAATTGAAGGTGACTATTGAGGACATCAGGTCAAACCCATGTTCAGCATGGGGATCCAAATTAAAACATCTCAGGCAGACAGCTTTCTACTCTTTCTTTGAATGCAGCCAGCAAGGGACTGATTTCCATCTCTCTTTAGCTACACAACTAGATTGTGTTTTCATATTAAATTTGTATAACTGTTAATTAGATAAGTTAAATCTGTATGCAAGAAGCAAGACTTTA